TCTGTTTCGAGCAGAGAGAAGACGAAGCGGCTCTTTATATAATGGAAGAATGTTTGCGTGAGATGTTTTGTGTTTTTCTCCGAAATTACACGAAAACACGCGTTAACTCACTTATTGTAATTTATAAACAAGTCCAAAATTATCTTCTTATTGTAATTTGGGTCCTTTATTTTCTAACAAAACATTTGTAATGACTTTTCTTTACGAAGAAAAAAAAAACATACTGACACTTCCATCTCCATACATGTGTTCAAATATTTGGCTAATAATATGACAATAAATGTTCGTTTTAAGGAAAATAGACCATAACTTTAGCGTATATTTAAATGATTGATCAGCCGTCTCTTTGCTCTTTCCGAAAATAACTTTGAAGAATTAATTCTCCTTTTTCAATTTCAGTATTGAAAATTTAAATTCTTTGTAGTATGTGTACAAAATTAAAATCAGAGACAAATCAATTACGTAATACCCAAAACGTTTCACTTACCGTTATGATATGATTATCACGCGGCTATGTTCCGGTCGCCTTGTAAATTCTTTATCTTATATGATTAAACTCTAACTCTGCGATCGAAGCATCTATTTTCAATGATTCTTTTGGTATGGATTTTTGTTAGTATATCATTTTTTGATATGTTACATTGTTTCAATAATTGGAACCTCGGATGCTCTTGAGTGTACAACGAATTTGTATTATTTACTAAACAACAACAACAAAAAGGTTTGGATTCTTCGAAGATGTCAACATTAGAGTGGGCGAATGGATGAGTCTTATTCACAGATTGTTAAAAAAATAAAATGACAAATTATATATAATTTGTTGTCTATCATATAATTCCATTTTGTTTAAGATATGGTTTGAAATCCATTTTGTGTAAACGATGTGGTATATAAACAAAAGATTGAAGCTTTAGAAGTCTGCTTGAAATGTAATTCTTGATTAAAAGTAGTGATAATTACCCAAAATAACTTAAAACTATGAAAAAATAACTAGAGAAGAATAACAGTTGTAGTCAATAATTGTTGCTCTGCAGCTTTTGTCGAATTGTTGCTCTCGTTGATCCGATTTTGTCGAATTTGGATCCGAATAAGTGCATAATTTTTCTGTGACTACAGGAATTCTGGAAAAATAATTCTCTCA